ATTATGTTATTGAAGAACATTGACCAAATATATGGATTGTGTAATGGTAAAAGATTAATCATTAAAGAGATGTGAAAGAACATTATCAATGTAATTAATGTTTCGAGAAATCGCGTTGGAGAAAAAGGTTTACATACCCTAAATAAAATTTGGTATCATCTGATAGAATTCTCAATATAATAGTCTTATGTTTTGCTATGACTATAAACAAAAGTCAATGTCAAACATTGTCCTTTGCTATATTATTTTTAACCAATTCGGGATTTACTCATGGTTAGCTTTATGTTACTGTTTCACGAGTAAAGAAAAAGACATGATTAAAAATATTGGTTCTAGATGAAAATAAAAACGCTTACAACGATACAAAAAATGTTGTATACACTAAAATCTTTCAAAAACTTTGGAATTAAAAAAGATTTTTTCGAGTACACTTTCAACTTCTCAAATATTATATTCTACTTTGTCGTTGTTTTCCATTGATTAAAATTTGTGACAGAAATATATTTACTTGATTCTGGAATAAATATTTCATTGAAAAATTTCAAAATCGACAACAGTTTCGTTCGACCCCGTGCATCGCACGGGTCAAAATACTAGTTATTATTGAATTCTAGAGTGGCCGAGTAACGTTAAAAAGAGTTAGAAAAAATTAAGTGTAATAAATCAGTCAACTAATTTTCAAAAAAAAAAATCAGTCAACTATATAATCACCCAAATAAATATACGGAGTATAAAAAAACTAATTTCGAATATAAAAAAATCATGTTTATCTGTATTTGAAGTGTTATGTTATAAATTTAGATACTCCGTATACAATATTACTATATAATCATCATATGTACTAAACTTGCACTAAATAGTAAATAGGACTAAAACATAATGACTTTTCTAATGTAGGACTTAAACTTTTTTATTCCCTAAATAGGACTTAATAATGACTTAGTGGAAGAAATAATGTCCAGCAATGATGGACATTTAGTTTAATACTTGATAATGACCAAAAGTCCTACATTGGGAAATAAAAACATATGATCCTATATTAGGAAAGTCATTATGTTTTAGTCCTATTTAGATAAATTTCTTATACATTTTTTAAATTATTGAAAGAAACTGGAAGGAGTTGAAAAACTAGAAGAAGTTGAAAAAATGGAAAGTAATTGAAAAAAACCAGAAAAAGTTAAAGAAAATTACAAGTAAAGTTTTCCAAACGAAAAAAATATAGCAAGTGATTAACGGGTAGTACAAAGTTAACTGGGGACAATAAATCAGGCTTCAACCTCACTTGCAATAAGTAACATTGTGAACAAATGTGTAATGTAAGCACTTTATCATAGAGAAATAGTAAGAAGCTATCAAAAAAAAAAAAGAGAAATAGTAAGAACAAATGTCCTCCTCAAGTCTCTAGGGAATGGGATAACTGATAAGAGAGACATGGAGGCACAATCCTTGAAGAAACAAAAGGGCACTCAAACATTTCACTAAAATCACAAAGGCTTCATTTTTTTGGCATGAAATCGAAGACGGTTTCGCTCAAAAGGGGAAGAAGAAGAACAAAAAAAACAACACAATAGTAGTATATGTTACAAACCTAACTCTTTCATCTCCATATTTTCTGAAGCAAACAAAAGAGAAGATATAAATAAATTACACCACCATAGCCCGCGTGCTCCATTGACGAACGAATCCCCTTGTGGAGCAAAGCTTCGTGTGGTAAAAACGAATGGAAGGGGATTTTTACCATCAAACTGCTTGTATAATCACCCCCCCCCCCC